TACTGTAACTGAACACATGCGGCTAAACATAAAGGTGGCCACACACACACACACACACACACACACACACACACACACACACACACACCATGCTAAAAATGAGGAAGTGAATTTGTCTTTAACTTAAATAGACCAACCAATATTACACTCTGGCCACTTTATTAGGTACACCTTTTCACCTGCTCATTTACAAAAATATCTAATCAGCCAGTCACGTGGGAGCAAATCAGTGCATTTAGCCACGTAGGCAGGGGTTAGGTGTCCGGGTGAAGCTCAAGCCAAGCATCAGAATGTGGAATAAAGGTTTAAGTGACTTGAACATGGCATGGTTGTTGGTCTGAGTATTTTATAAACTGTTGATCTGCTGGGATTTTGCAGCACAACCATGTCTAAGCTTTACAGATGATTGTCTGTCTGAAAAAGAGAAAATATCCAGAGGGGAGCAGATGTCTGGGTCAAGATGCTTTATTTGGGTCAGAGGATCATGGTCAAACTGCTTCAACCTTCAAACTTGTACTTGAAGGACTTGGGCTCTTCTTTTAGAATACAGGCGGCGGGGATTAGTTACTGGTAAACTAGAGAGATGGTTTTTAAAAAAAAAAAAAAAAAAAAGGTAAAATTAAATCTTATCTGTGCTCTGCTCGTGAGCACCAGTGTGTGAGCAGTGCATGATAAAGCTGCATTATTATCTCTGTTTCACTCCAGTCTTATCTGCTGATTTAAACTTCATTGAACCTTTAGGGTTTTTTTTTTTTTTTGTTTTTTTTTGTGGGGTTGTGTCTGCATTTTCTATTAAACCCTCGCCTGTCTGGTTTTGTAGTCTGCCATTTCCCATCTGCTTCAGCGTCCTCAGCGGACCTCACCTCCTCACCAGCTCTCTGTCTGAAGAGCTACTAAGTCTTTGTGTCTGCTGCTGCTGTCAGTCCTGCGATCTTCACCCATCAATTATTCCTTTGATTAGACTCAGACGCTTGTCTGACAGCCAGATGAAGAATGAGGACTTTAGGGCTCACATCATCTTCCTGATTGATTGAAGAAATATTTGGATCATAAAATGTCTGTGAAGCTCTCCAAAACGGTTCCATCTTTTAACATGTGACAATTGCTTTCTTTCTTGCCAATTCTTTGTGAAAATTTTAAGAGAATCCAATTTTATTCTCTTTTTTTTCTCTTTTTGGTTAATATTTTTTGGCATTTCATTAATAAATGTATAATTAAAGTAGCTGCAGGCCTCTGATGAGAACTCTGTTCTTTACTAAGTGTTCTTTAACTCTCTGCTGTGGTCTCTAACCTCTTCCTATTCACATCTGCCGTCTTCCTCTCTCTGGCCCGTCCCCTCCTCCTCCTCTGTGTATTGATTTCTGATTGGTGATAGCAGGCCCGCTCGTGCCCCCTCCCCCCTCCATGCAGATCACCCCTCAGCTGCCTCTGATGGGCTTTGTGGCCCGTGTTCAGGAGACTAGTAAGTGGCCTATGGCTCTTTGCCCCCTCTGCATGACCTCCACTCAATCCCCTGTAGTGTGCTGGTGTGGGTGTCTGTGTGTGCGTTTTTGGGTTCTTGTTATGTATGAATATTTTCTCAAGTAAACAACCACCAACATCAGCTGCTGCCCTCACATTCAGGCTTTGTTCTGAGCAGTTTTCTTTAAACTGTCTGATACGTTTGGAGATTATGCCAGAAGTATGATTATAAGCTCCAGAAGACTCAAAGCGCGATAATTGATTCAAATCAATGAGATATTTCGGGCCTAAACACTCCAAGCATAGTATGACACTATTTTGCATGACAACATTATATTGATACAGGTTCACGAAATACAAAGGTTTTTGTTCAGAAGGAGAATGAAGATCACCTGCTGGACTGCGATTTCAGTCCAGCAGGTGGTGCTGTTGACTTTTTTCCTAGTGAGGTTGGCACCATCAGGAAGAAGTTGGCAAAATGGGGGGACTTCTTTCTTCATCTGAGGCAAAGAATAAATCAGAGAAGCACTTTCTGCATTTAACTCGAAGACATGGACATGAATGTTGTGTGAATATAAAATACTGCAAACACGAGGGCACTGTCAAACAACACCTGACAGATTTACCTTGACAAAAGAAAAAAAACACAATCTATCACCAACTTTATGTGCAAACACCAGCGTTCATGCAGCTCAAGATATTACAATCCAGCTGTCTGACACTGTCACAGAGGAAATCCAGCAGAAATTGTTGGGTTATTTGGAGCATGTGGAAATTATGTTTGTTTTTTCCTTTCTTTGGACAACACCGACACAAAGTTTGCATTACAGTGCAACAGCTACACCTGGAGCCAGACTTCACACTAGCATAACAGAAGTAACTATTCTGCCATTGGCAGCTGTTGGATCTACAGCTGCCTTAATTTGCATTTGGATTTTTTAAAATGTGTTGAGGCAGGTTCAGACGTGCTTTAGGGTTTGTGGTAACCATGCTATAGTACTGTAGAACCGCACATGACTGTTAAATGATCTAAATGAGCACTTTTTCAATAGCATGGAGACAAATGTTATAATAGGATAGATTTTAAACTAACGTTTAGTTTAACAAAACTTGTGATCTCTTTCTTGTGTGGAGCAAACTTAAAAAAAACACCAGTACAAATAGAATTATCCAAAGGAACTAGAGGGAAAGCTGTAACCCTGTCAAAGTGCGTCATATGTCAGGAGAAGGTGACTAATGCTAATGTGGTGCCAACAAAAGAGGAACTTGGAAACAAAATGATTCCTCCTTAAACAAACAAACCAGATGGTACAGCCAGCTCTGTGCTAATGAAGTTTACTGCAAATCCAATTTTGTGTGTGAAGGCAGGTAATCACAAATTTCTGATGTGTGAGTGGATAAGTGAACAGTGTGGTGGCAGAAAAGCTCTTTATAAAGGTTTTATAAAGGTAATCTGGGCCCAGGGGTCTCAGTTAACCTGATGTCTGCTTCACCCACCATTAGCATGCAGGTTGGGTGCCTTCATGTGAAAACGCCTTGTACCAGTATGCACAACACGCTGGGAACATAATGACTTTTGAGTGTTCGTTGAAGATTTTAGTTCCCCTTTCATGGGTTTTGCTCCAGAAATGTTTGAAACCACTTCTCTTACTGAGTAAAAGTAATGCAGAGCATGTGAGACTATGGACAGCACATCAGCTCCAGATGTCATGCTTTTAAAAACCAAAGGCTCATTTTTAGTGTAAAGGTGCAAAAGCAAGAAATGGAGAAGTGAAACTGGTCAGAGGAAAAGTATTTTAGGTTTTTCCCATTGGTTAAAATCTGAGAGGGATTTCAAAGCTGAAAGATGGTGGTGGTTGACTGCTCGGTATCATGCGTGTAAGCAAAGAGTGTGAAGCATGATGAGAATAATGAGGCGTTTGTGTCGTCTTTCTGTAAATGCACGTTGAGCTGCTGCGTGCACTTTTTGTTTTCAGCATGTTTGTCCTCAGGTTCTCTGTAAAACTGACAAACACCCAGCATGGGCTGTTTCTGCATGACTGTAAGAGCTCCGCCTCTGAGCTTCTTCTCGTCTCTAACTGGTTGTCTCCC